CTTCATGTTGTCCAAAGGGGGAGAGGGAGAGGGAAGAATATATATTTGCAAAAAAATTATCCCAATTTCTTAAGTGTTTAAAATGATTTCTATGCATTCCCACATTTAAACATTGTCCCCTGAAAGATACTGCAATATGGAAAGATGATTAGAAAACATAGAATCCAGGCCCTCCCTGGTAGCACAGTGGGTTAAAGAATAGCACTAAAAGTCATAGCCACTTCAGTGCAAGTTCTATTCCCAGCCCCAGAGGTGATCCACATGGCGCAGCAGACCTCTCCTGATCCGCCTGCTGCTCCCCTCAGCAGTGTACTTCATCCATCTGCCTGTTCTGCTCCACACTCTGTCTCTGGTAAATCCTCTCACCGCCCCTGACTTCTGGCCTATACCCCAGTTCTGTATGCATAAATAAATCAATCTTTTAAAAAAGAAAACTTATAGAATCCAATTTCTGTCTACCTCCACTTTAAAGGTAATTAGAATAGTGAGCAGAATGCAGTTACATTTACTGTATTATATTAAAAAGACTCTTCTTAAAAAAAGAAAAGGTGAACGTTCAAGTGGAGAAAGGGTTCATGATTACAAAGTGATGTTTGCAAAGGCAAGAAAAGAAAGCAAGCTTCGGGTTGGAAACTGACCAGCTCTCCATAGAGGTGGACATAGTGGGTCTTGCCGTCTCTGGATGTCTGCTGTAATACTTAAACACTGACAAGAAGAGCCTCCCACTGTAACATAACGTCCAGCCACTGGTGCAGTGTGCTAAACAGAACACTAAACCTGAGCCTGAATTATATAGTAAAAAAGGAAAGAATTAGGGTTTGACCATGACAAGTCTACAGTCTGTATGGGTGAAAATGGCTTCTACCACATTTCTGGTATAGGTGTATGTAATTATCAAAAATTGGGGGGAGGGCTAACTGCTCATAAATACGTGGCATATAGGCACTCTAGAATTAGTGCTTTCCAAAAAGAACTTTGCTCAGGACCTACTCAGAAACACTGACTTGATGTCATACAAGGTCATTTCATCAGGCTTCAAAATTGGCTTTCGATTTCATGAAACCAACACATAGCCACAGATGATCAGCATCTTGTGGCTGGACAAATGACAACTAACCCAACATCTAATCATGGTCGAGCCCCTGGACTTTGTGAGACGATGATCCTGCGAGATGTAGACAAGCCTTTCTTACTCTGAAAAACAGGTCTGGTACTAGTGATAACTTGTGATAACTTGATGAAAAACTTTTACTTTTCTCAGTCTGCAAACAGTCACCATGTTTTTCTTGCATGCTGCATTACTTATGCCAAATGAAAAAAGATCATACTTCTTTGGCATATAACTTCTTTGGCTATACATTTTTTTTTAAGATTCATTTATTTATTCATACAGAACTGGAGTACAGGCCAGAGATGCAGGGGCAGTGAGAGGATTCACCAGAGACAGAGTGGAGAGCAGAACAGACAGATTGACAAAGCACACTACTGAGGGGAGCAGTGGATGAGACAGGAGATGTCTGCTGCGCTATGTGGGTCACCTCCAGGGCTGGGATCGAACTCACACTGAAGTAGCTGTGGCTAGCTCGCAGTGCTGTGTCCTAACCCATTGTGCCAACAGTGAGGGCCCCACTTTGGTTATCTTTATGCTACCTTTACACTTTTGTCATACTGGTAGAACCCTTACATTCTTTACTATTTACATCCTTCTTTTAGTTCAACTTCTTTAACTTGTGCAAGAGTCATTTTTAAGGAAACAAATTTCTTTAAGCCACTAACATGACTAGAAAGCTATAATCACAACTGGATGGGAAAGATAAATGTAATAAACATAATATAGCATTATTAAATTTTACAAAAGGCAATCCAAAAGTTTAAAAAAAAAATTAAAGGATTAACTTTCTCACTGTGACTCAAAGTAAAAGCTGCATTCTGGCAGTATCACTTAAAATCATCTCTATTCACACTAGTTATATGAACCTTAAACTTAGTAGGAAAAAAAAAAAAGATCTAAATGGATAATAACACAGTACAGTGATATAAGTCAAATTACAGAACAGACTGTAAAATTCAAATTGCTAACCCCTCTGGCAGAATTCATGGTTCAAGAAAGTCTGCTTAGATTCCTAGATAGCAAGATAGTCTACATGGTAATACCTCTTCTTAAAAATTCCTCCAATGGCTAAGAACTAGAACACAGAAAACAGAGTCTGAGCAATAAAGTGTAAACACTTTACCTCAGGAAACTGCTTCAGGGAATAATTCAAAGCCCATGTGCTTTCCATAAGAGCTTAATAATATACTCAAATACCAATGTAATGTACATCAAGCATCCTTTAATCTATGTTCCGAGGAAACATCTAGTTTTTTTATTCCACATATGGTTTAATATTTGCCTAATTAAAAATACCCCACCACACCATACTAATGATAAGGAACTTATGTCAAAGATCTACAAAAAACTTACACAACTCAACAAAAACAGAGTAAACAATCCAGTCCAAAAAAAAAAAAAAAAAATGGGCACCAGTGCTAAAAAGATATGTCCCCAAAGAGGACATGCAAATGGCCAACAGGCATATGAAAAAAAAAAGTCTCATCATCACCTGTAATCAGGCGAATCCAAATCAAAGCCACAGTAAGAATGGCCCACGTTTAAAAAAAAAAACCTATCAACAACAAATACTGGGGAGGATGTGGAAGCAATGGCACCCTCCTACCTTGCTGGTGGGAATGCAAACTGGTCCATCCACTATGGAAGGCTGTGTAAAGGACACTCAAAGCATTAAAAATGGATCTACCATACGACCCAGCAATTCCACACCTAGTTCTAGTCCTACTACAAGTTCAAGATGGGCACAGAATCAAAGGAACAACCTCTGATCATGGACCAGCAGACTCACTAGGGGAACATGCAGACTCCAGACATGAGCACCAAGCCCTGACCATTCCCTGCATCCATACAAAAGAGGGAGGGGTTCTCACACTGCCTCCTGGCTGCATAGTTTATGACTCAATATACCTGTGAAGTTGCCTACGAAAGTCATATTAAAAAAAAAAAAAACAAAAACAAAAAACAGAGCAGAAACTCAATGATTTGCCTGATCCAGAAATAACTCAAAATCCATGAACCTGATGATTATAGTAAATGGTGACCTTGTTCTGCCGTCACCTGTGTAGATTTTTCCACAACCTGAAAGAAAGTTCTGAATGCCACCAAGCTCCATTCTGTCTGCCCAGCCCTCCACCACCCACCCTCCCAAACACCCCCCCTTCACATACATCCCTTCATACTACTGAGCCAGAGCAAGGCTCTGCAGATAAGGGAAGGGGTCAATTAACCTCCGCTCCTCAGTATTCCTAAAAGAGTCTGGTAAGGTGAAAATTCCTCACAAGCATCTAATAACTGCAGAAATGTTGAAACAAGAAAAGGACACTTTTTCATGTAGAGGTTTGGCTTCTTGTATCAACATGCTGGAAGGTATAAAGGACAGGAGGGGAAAGGCAAATAGATGCCACAGCCGGAATGTGCTTGAGAGAGACCACAACAAATTGGGTGTGGACAGAAAGTATGGCAACAAGGAGGGAAAACGGAGTACCTACAAACAGAAGCAGACACACTCTAAGACAGAAATCACAAACCCCAAGATGGCATCACATGTGAGCACCGCACCAATGCTTTAGGGTTATCAGTTCCATGCTCACAATTAATTCCTCTTTATACTCAGCAGATCTGAGTTCCCCACAACCAAATAAGACACTCTGAAACAAAGCTCCCAAAACATCTTTTTTTCTTTTTCTAGTAGTGTCAAGATAAGAAATAATTCTCAATAAAAATTCAAGTGTACTCTCTGTCAAGAACATATGGCTTGGCCTAAAGATACTTTCCAACTTAAGGGATCTGGTAGATGTCAGGAATTAAAAGAAGTAAAGGTGCTTTTTTTTTAACCATATTTTCAACCAAATATTGTTTATAACTGTTGAATTATAGCCACGATCTGCAGAAAAATAGTGGGCTGTATCTGGGCATTATTAGGGTTTCTGTGAAAGAAATGAGCCTGAAAAACCCAGACCTGAAGTTCATTGAAAAGAAGTATAAATATTTCTGCAGGAAAGCAAAAAACAAAACAGGTATGTAATATCTGAGAAAGAAAAGTATCAAGCATATTAGGGTCTATCCTGAAGAAAATTAGCAGCATCCTTTCAAGAACTGAATTCTATCCCTAAGGGCAGGACCACTGGGAGCTGCCACTTTAACCGAAAGCAATTCATCAAAGATGCTGCACAAGCAGGGGTGCCAGCCCACTCAAGGGTGTCCTCAGAGCCATAAAATACAAGGCTAAGTCAGGGTACCCCCTGAAGATGAAAGCTTAAGCAGGATATAAATACCCTATTAGAAATTCAATATAAAGGAAGCAACATTATAGTGAAATGTGGAAGTCAATATAAATTCACAAGTCACGCAATATCAAGTGGACAGAAGTGTCTAATTCCAATTATACTGAACTGATAGGAGGTGCCTGAACAGCAGCAAGGTCTGTGCACTTCAGGGACAGACTCTTCCAGCACTCCCTGCAACTGAGCCACAGCCAGAAAAAAACAACCTTCCTCAGAGTAGCTCCCCTTATCTCAACATCCCCAAGCAAGGACAAATGACAACACGACCAGCCTTCAATGCCATGTTCAGTAAACTTGGCACTTGGGGTAGGGATAGGTGGGGATCTAAGGCATATGATTGCCAAACCAACTCCCTATTCTATGAGTCAGATCAAATCAACACTGATAAAGTTACTGCCTAAAAATGGTAAAATTCCTGGATGTGGGCAAATACAAGTTAATCAAATTATTCCACAATGTCATTAACCTCATTCCAAAATTTATACTTTTCTCATGATGCCCAGGAAAATCACTTCCAATAAAATGTATCCAGTTATATTTACCACAAATCACCCTCAAACGCCAGAAGATACAACTGGATAATGTAAGAGGAAACTTTTTCTTACCATTCCGGGACACATCAAGTTCTACCAGTTGCATGAAGTTTGCTATTTCTGGAGGGAGCCGCTGAATTTCATTATCACTAAGTCCAAGCTTTCTTAATTTGACTAGCTGGAAAAATTGCTGAAAGACAAAACAGTTTCACATAAATCTCACATATATTTGCAAAATAAATGTTTTACCCAATATGAAATTCAAAACAATGTGAGTTCTAAAAATAAACAAATGTATATTAGTGAGGACTGCACCAACATCCATTTCCTGATTCTGATATTATACTACACTCAATGTGAAGATGTTTCTACCATAATAAATTGGGTACAAAGGACCTCTCTACACTATTTTTGCAACTTCCTATATATCTACAAGTACCTCAGAATTAAAAGATTTAAAGACAAGTAAGATACTCAAGGAGAACAGTAATTACTTCTTTAAAGGATCCAGTTGTATATCCTAGTTATCAAGATTGATGTTAAATCTGCAATGCTAAATAAAACATGTTAAAATGAAAATAATATGTTTTCAAAAGCCATGTTTAAAATATATTACTGTGCATCAGAAACATATATAAATAGCCCATAAATATCTAGAGGAGAAAAACTGTTTTTGAGCAATCTAAATAAGAATCTGTATGGATACTTTCATTAATCATGACAAATGAACATAGTCACTGAGTTACTTTTTCCTTTTTTAAGTCTTTCAAACTGTACTAATAACACTAAATTAATGGATATATATATACATATGTATATCATATATACCTTATATATATATTAGATACCATATATATAGACCTTATATATACCATGTGTGTGTATATATGTGTGTGTATAATAGAGAATGTAGAAAAAGTACATGAAGACAAGTAAAAATAAGAGACATGGAACAAACGGGCTAATCAAAAAAAATTGTGAAGTTAGAAAACTAGTGAACAAATGATAACTAACAAAGAATCAACACAAAGCCAAAATTTAAGCCTATGGAATGAGCACCAGCAAGAATTTGGAACAGTGACCTTTGAAGAAAGAAGCACTGGTAAATATACCACATCTTCTTGATCCAGTTATTTAATTTTGGGCATCTGGGTTGCTTCTGTAGCTTACCTATTGTAAATTGTGCTGTAATAAACATTAAGGGTGCAGGTGTCCTTTTGAATTAAAGATTTGTGTGTGTGTGTGTGTGTGTGTGTGTGTGTTGGATAGATCCTAGAAGTGGAATTGCTGGATCATACAGAAGCTCTATTTTCAGTAGTTTCAGGAAACTCCACAAAGTTTTCCATAGTGGTTAGGGCATGATGGAATATTATTCAGCAATCAAAAAGGGTAAAATCCTGACCTTTGCAGCAACATGGATGGAGATGGTATTATGCTCAGCAAAATAAGCTCAGAAAGAAAAAGAAAAATATTGAACAGTCTCACTTATAGGAGGACTATTGAGAAAACAAAAAAGGAATCAGAAAAAATATATAATAAAGAAAGAATGAAAATCATCAGGCAACTATAGGTCAGAGACATTCTGTAGAGGAAGAGGAGAAGGAAGGACCAGGACAGGAGTGGGAAGAGCATGAGGGACTATGGTGATGGTGCACAGGTGAATCCATGGTGGGAATTTCACTGGGAAATCATACATTGTACAAAAAATGAAAGATAATATAATGATTTTTTTTAATTTACAATAAAAGAAGCACTGATGGAAAATATGTAGCAAGAATAGCTATATTCCCTATATCCTCTTCTCTGTCCTGCATGGCCTGGCAGGAGGCTAGGCAATCTCCCTCTCTAGAAGAGGTGACTACAAAAGTAGGGCAGGGCTGGGGAACCAATGAGATGGAGAAATGGGAGAGCAAAGATAAGAAAGGTAGATCAGTGCACAAGTGCAACATATCCAGTTAAGTTGTCCAAAAAGAGAAAGCACATGGAGCTGCAGAGCATGCATTTACAGTTCAAGAGGGCCAAGCACATGGCCAATAAAATGAATGAAAACAAACACATACTAAGGAATATTATGAACAGAAACAAGGAGAGTCTAAAAGTTTCCAAAGATTAACTGGGTAACATGGGGAAGGGGTCTCCTAACAAAAAATTAGAAATCAGAAAGGCAGAACGGCACCCTGAAAGTGAAAAGGCGATGGACAGAGTCTCCAGAATTACACAAAATTTTATCCCAAATCTACAGGCATGCCCATCCAGACTACTGTCAAATTGACCTTTCAGACATGCATGGTCCCAAAAAAATGTGTCTCCCTTGCACTTTTGTCAGGAGTCCATCAAAATGTGGAAGTAATAAAAGAGAAATTACAATCTAGAAATGTGAATCAAGAAAAGAGATACACACACAAAGGTTAATTCCCAGGATAAAATGTCAAAATGTCAAATGGCAGGAGGCCCTATCAGCAACCAGTCCACTCTGCAGAGAATAGCTAAGACTTCAGAGGAAGTTTAAGACAATAAATAAAAAAAACACTTAAGACATAAGTTGATGTGTTTAGAAGCACTGAGAAGATTTACTTAGTGATAAATTACAAACAAGAATTAAGGGAATAAGGCAAGCAAAAATGAAAGAAATTATTAATTCCAAGAAAAATACAGTCATCGTTTTTAATACTTATATATTGATAAAATCAAAATTCACAATGTCAATTTCAGAGGAACAGAAAGAAAATTGCAAGTACTAAAGGCAGATTTTCTATAAAAGGGAATCAACAGATAACTAAAAAGTGTGTGGGGCAGGGTGTGTCAAAATGTAAAGGCAAACATTAGAAGAAAGAACAACTGAGGTCCTAAAAAGCTGGAAGGGAAAAGGGAGGGCAAGAAGAAGCTGCTAGTTGTCACTGTCACACCACACTGCTTACTGGAAATTTTAAGAACCAAAATGCATTTACTATTTTGCTGAAAACAGAAACTGAATTTACAAAGGAAAAAAGACTCCAGTAAGATCACAGTGTGCTCCAAATAATAATTGTATAGAACATTAATATTTAATAATTACCCTTGTTCTTTTTTTTTTTTTTTGATGGGGAAGAGCAGAGCCTGTAAAGGGGATTGTATACTTATATAATTAAAAAGAGACCTTTTGTAAATCAATTTGGGTGATACACAAAACAAGAGAGGTGTTCAGCTCCACTGATAAAATAATATCTTGGGCATCAGTCTTTGTAACATAATTAAAAATAAACTGCAATGCACATTATTACTTTGTAATGTAAATATTTAAAAATAAAAACAAATTGCAGGTACATGCTGACAGACAAAGAAGGAAGCCTGGGAACAAGATGATGCTATGGTGATACGAAAAGTGCATGAACAATTTAAAATTATTTTTAACAGAAAATATTTTAATTAAATGAGTTATGAATATCAGAGAATGAATGCTACTCATTAGCTATAAATGGCAATGAGATCACCCAACAAAAGAACTAATCTCTAGACTCCTTTAATCATACAGCTGAGATTTACTTCTTAAAGAAACGTACTGAAACTTCTTTATGCTAGTTATACTAAAGCTTTAGCTAACACAAAACCATTCAAAAGAGCACATATTTGAATAATTGAGCATATGCCAATTGCTCAGAGTCTGACAGTTTCATAATGCATCAATGTGTTTACTCAAGCATGAAAATCTCACTTTGTTATTTCTAGGAAAGGCATAATAGTAACAGCACAAAACCATCACCAAATCCATACATTTAGGGGCCATTCAAGAAATCAAGTCAATAATCTACAAAGAATAATAAGTAACTTTATGTCTATGGAAATAACAGCTTACAAATCCCCACAGCCAATAGAAGTCATAACTGCAAGCAATTCAAGTTTTGATCTGCATGGTAAAAGCACCTTCAAATATAGCCTGTCACATTTATTACTTTATTCAATGTGCAAAGCACATACCAACTAGTAAAAAAAAAAAAAACCCTCTATCTGACAGCATCAAAACAAAACAGGAATTCCTCAAACCCTTCCCTCATTAGGATCGTAATGAAAATTAGCTAGTATTTTATGATTTTGATACACCACCACTCAGACTTTTAAATTTCAACTTCATTAGATGGGGGAGGTAGGGAACTCAACAAGTTATAAACCTCCTACTGCCTTTTCTGTGACATTAGCCAGGGCACATGAAGAATAATTCATGGGTCTGTGCTGGCAGGGAGCCTCAGTGCAGAGCCATCATGTGATGGAATACACAGACACCATTCTTCAATTCTACCATGTTGGATTATAGCACACTGGCCCACTCAGCATTGTGCACAGTTACATGAGAAGAACCCCAGACTGTCCTGACATATTATGCTAGACTTCTTTAGAGTCCCCACTACTTTTGCCAATATTAAATACAGGGTCTTTAAACTGGTCCAAGACAACTTTCCTTTTTCCTACTCTCCAGGTTTTGGTGACTCTCTTTTTTTATTGAAGTGTTAGTACCTACCTCCACCTTCTTAAAAGGAATATAGGAAATCTGGGTCTTGAAAGAGCTATATCCTTTTTTCTAACTTATGGCTAAGGGTCCGTCAATAGCAACCCTGTTACCCAAACTTCTCCTAGCCATATTATTCCAGAATATATACAAGAATGTACGTATTGATAGATCTGAGATAGGAAGATCCTAATACTGAAATTCTAAGTAGCAATGAAAATAAAAGTTTATAACAGTCATAATATGAAGGAGACTTAACAGTCTTCAGCAAATGAGCCCAGATACAGAAGATTACAATACTAACTATTCCATTTACATAATGTTCAAATAACCACTGAAACTAAATTATTTTTCTTACAGATGCATATGCAGATGGTAAAAACTATAAAGAAATGATGCCACTGATTCAAGTCAGGCAGAAAGAATAAACATTTACTCATTCAATTATTAGAAAATCTAAATGAGGATAAGAAAGGATCACAATCAGGAAGCACATGTAAGTGATTACAGGTGTTCATTCTACAATTTGTTAAAAGCAATACATTTAGACCTCAGGTGTGTGTGTGCATGTGTGGTGTGTGCTTGTGTGTGTGCATGTGTGCTGTGTGCTTTATTTCACAGTAAGAGAAATTTTTGTGCCTTTTTTTAATAGGATGGAGTTATTCCTTTATATCTTTCTTTTTAACACTGCACTATAAAATTTTAAGTTT